TTTCTTTTCTCATCTTTGTTTGACGACTGTTTCTGTCGTCCTTCTCTTTTGTCGAACCTTTTCCCGTCCGACTGTTTTATCGTACACAGATCAGTCGCCTGTATATAGGCTTCTGCTTCAATCAAGGCCTCTTGAAGAGTCGCCACCCTTTTTCGAACCAAATCAAATTTGAAGGTAGACCCGTCTTTGAGACCTCTAAAAAAGTCAGTATAAGCTACCTCATCCGGTAACCCTTGAATCTGTATTCTCATCAGGTTGAACCGTCTGATGTAAGAACGAAGCCCCTCCTTCTCGCCCTGCTGAATTGTTCCCAAATCAAGGGTCGTTTTCTTCGCAGGGATGTTCATGGCGAAGTTGGAGGCAAATAAGTAAGCAAGCGTCCTGAAGCTGTTTACACAACCAGTCGGCAAGTTGCCGAACCATTGCTGTGCGATTCCCTTGAGAGTCGCTGGGAAACACTTGCACCAAGTGGGATCATCCAACCCTTGAAGGTACATCAGGTTGGTGAATGCCATCAGATGGTCTTCTGGGTTAGTAGTGCCGTCATAGGCGCCTACTAGTACATTTTTTACTTTGGCCGGCTGAGCGGCTTCAGTAATTTCCTTGGAGAAGGCCGACGGCTGTTCACCAAGTCTAAGCAACCGTAGCTGCCAGTCCATAGGTTGGACGTTTTTTGCTGCAGGTCCACCAAATGGAGGTGGATGCATAAAATACTGTTGTTGCGGCACAAATGGTAAGTTTGGTACCGCCTGAGCACTATGAAAGCCGGACTGACGGGAGGTGCCGCCTGACTGACTCTCATGGTACGACTGAGTATGCCTCATCGAGGCATTACGCAAACTGTCTTGAAAGTCTGAAGTAGAAGCCGACTCTGACAATCGGTCATTCTTCTTCTGCTCTAGCAGTAGCCGAGCATCTGTGAACGTTTGCTTTGACCCGTCCGCCTGAATATGACGAACCGGTTTCCTATTTCCTGTAGGATAACGGAATTTTGTGAAATCAAGGGCAGGTGGCTCCCGCTTCCTAGATTTAGGATGAGGAGTCGCCTCTCGCCCTTGAACTGGCTTCCTCTTCAGTGAAGTGGAGGGTTTCTTGGCCGACTGCTCCTTGACTGAAGCAGGCGGCTTCTTGTTGATCAACTCTTGAATCTCTCCCTTGAAGTCCCTCATGAAGGTCATGAGTTCGTTCCTTGTGATGGGAGCAGACCCATCAGTCGGCTGTTGCCGAGCAGGCGGTGCGCCTGCTGGCTCGCTTCCTGTTTGAAGATGCTCCCGTTCCCTCCTTTCGGTATGACGGGTACGTCGGGCCCTTAGGGTCCCGTCTGGAGCTGTATGAGTTTCAACTTCAAATTCACTTTCGGTGTCATGGTCCGACTGAACTTGAGGGTCGTTTAGGGGACGCCTCTCTTCAGGAGTCGGTACAGACTTGGATGCCATCTCTGAAGTACTCTCCCCACAGACGGCGCCAAATGTTTCGGGGTTTTCTGATGTCCTGCGGGAGAGTTACAATTCCGAGACTGGAACCGGACGCCTGTACCTGCAAAATAACGGAGACTCCTGAGAGCTCCGCCTCCAACGGTCAAGTTAGTACCTGATTAAGGAGTAATTAATACGGAAATTAAAGTAATAAGATCTCTCTAGGTGAGAGTGTTTAATGTAGGTAATCTGCTTTGTTAGCGAGATTAGCCGGTTATTAGTGTTCCGTAATGTTTCTGTTCTTTTCTGTTCTTCAGGTGAGATTAATTGCTTGATGTTTGCTTTTTTTGCTTTTTCAATTGCTTGATCCCCTTTAATGAGGATTAATTAAGTATTTATAGTCTTGAGAAGCGTGCCACTCTCTAGGTTTAGGGTAAACCTAGGGCTGACCGGGCCTCTAGACAGGATTGGGCCTTGTTGGCCGGTTTTCCCATTTGGCATGGGTGGACACATGGCGTGCCTCGATCGGTCCGTAGAGGACGTATCTGTGATTGACACGTGGCAGGCTCCTATTGGCCTACGTGAAGGACACGTGGCGGAACCTGGTTGGTCCACTTGTCAGACGGTGATTTGTGGATAAAAATCCCCTAATCAATTTCCATCCCAAGCGTGCCACAAATTGCTTCTCGAACTTCCAGATTTGTGTTTGGAGAAAAGTAGACCCGAGATTTCTCTTTGCTAACCTTACTACCCAAAGCACCACAAAATTGGTCAAGACAAAATTGTATCACTTCAGCTTGTTCAACAGTTGCTTGCCCAAAAAGAATCAAATCATTTGCAAAGGCAATGTTGGATATAGCAGGCCCTCCTCTACTTGCCCGACTAGGAATCCACGACCCTAATTGAATCTCTCTTTCAATCAAGTGAGCAAGCCGTTCCATACATATCACATATATATATGGAGATAACGGATCGCCTTGTTTTATTTTTTAATTTTTGATTTTTAATTTTTTTAGGTCGACATATATTTACGGAGTACGGAGTAGTAATTAAGGGACATTATTGTTGGGTTTGGAGTATGTGAAGGTGGCTTGGGCTTTTAAGTTCTGTTGGGCCGTTGGGGTGCTTAGAGTATTGCTAAAGTTGTGGTTTTGCTAGTTTGTAGCTCCTAGTTGTTGTTTCCATTTGGATTCTATTCCTTCATCTTTTGGGTTGTGTTGAGGAGTTGAGGCCTTTGAGGGGGTGGACCGGTGGTTGTAACTAGATTTTGAGCTCACATTTGGGATCTGAGTTCCATCTTCCTATTGAGTTTTATTGCGGGAAAATCATATTATTTATGAGTTGTTTTTCAACTTCTCACCACAACACTCTAGTAGAGTGAAATTAGGAAATAGGGGTGTGAAAAGAAAAAAACATAAGGTACATGACACGCACATGCTAAGTCAATGCTGAAAAAAGATGAGTCAATGCAGGAGCCAAGCCAGTTTTTTAAATATGGGAAGGCCGAGACTTAGGGCCTGTTCATATTTACTAAACTGAGCTGAACTGAACTGAACTGATTGGAGCTGAACTGAACTGAACTGATTGGAGCTGAACTGAAATGAACTGAACTGAACTGAACTGAACTGATTAGAACCGAACTGAACTGAAATGAACTGAACTGAGCTGAACTGAACTGATTGGAGCTGAACTGAACTGAACTGAAAATAAGTAAATATGAACAGGCCCTTATTAAGTAGTTAATAGTATTGTATTTCATACAATTTTTTCATTACACAATATTTTCTTTTGCGGCATTTGCAATATTATAAATTAGATTTGACTATATTTTATAAAGCAATACAAATTATTATTTCATCAAAATATTCAATATTAAAACTAATTAACCAAGAGGACTTGCCTTATTGATTAAAGCTAAGCGAGGGTTTGTGTACGATATATTTGGTATTGCTCTTGTGGTTCATCTATACAAAAATAAATATATAATAATTAAAAAAATGTAAGGTATGTAATTTACTGATTTAGTTAATTAGAAATTTAGGAAAAATAATTAAGTAAGTTTAAAATCAAAACAATTGGCAAACTAATAAAAAGATTGATTAAAGGGGTAAAAAAATAAATTAGATTAAATAAAAGAATAAAGCTAATATTAGGGGTTGTTTGGTTCGCAGAGGGTAATCGGAATGGAATGAACAAAGGGAAAGAATCGGAATGGAATGAAAATCCCCCAAATTTGGGGTGTTGTTTGTTTTGAATAACAAAGGAAACACAAACACCAGTCCAACCACCACACCACCACCACATTGCTTTACTTCCCACAATTTCCAGCCACCACCTAGCCACTCCATCACTTGTCGCGCCTCCTCCACCACTTGCCGACCACTGCCTCGCCTCCTCCACCACTCGCCGACCACCGCCTCGTCTCCTCCACCACTCGCCGACCACCGCCGCACCTCCCCCGCCCCTCACTGTCGCTCCTCACACCCCCCCCCCCCCCCCCCGCAAAAACATCCCACAAGCCCCGCAAAACCCAAGAAACCCCTCCCTATCCCCGTAAAATCGCCGCCCAGCCCTCCTACCACCCTTGAAACCCTAGCGGCTAGGGTTTTGAGGGTGGTTGGAGGGCTGGGCGGCGATTTTACGGGGATAGGGAGGGGTTTCTAGGGTTTTGTGGGGGCTGTGGGATGTTTTTGCGGGGGAGGGGAGGGCGGCGAGGGTCAGGGAGGGGCAACGGTGGTCGAGGGAGGGGAGGAGGTGGTCAGGGTAGGGGCGACGATGGTCTGGTATGAAGGTGGGTTGGTTTTCCGATGGTGATGGAAGGTGTGAAGGTGGTGATGTGAAGGTGGGTAGGGAATGAGAATGGAAATACCTAGGGGGTGGGGAATGAAGTTAGAGGGATTTGGGGGAATGAAGAGGGTAAAGAGAATGGGAATGGGAAAAATGGTCTAACAATCAATAACAAAGGGAATGAGTTCAGTTGATTCACATTCCCTTTGATGATTAACCCCAACCAAACGGCCCCTTAGTAAGTTTTTAAGGGAAAAAAAACTAATACATATAAAAGAAATAATGCATAAAATAAAAATAAAAAAAAGATTAAATGCATGTAAACCTAGGAGAATATGTTGGTTAATTATTAATATTAATCCTTGCTCTTGGAGCTTTTCAAAAAAAAAAAAAAAAAGAGAAAAAAAAACTACGAGAATCAAACCATGACCTGAAGGCTGTATTCTTCAGCGCTCAACCATTAAGCTACAATTTAGATTGCTAGATTTACACAAACAATAATCGTTTATCCTAAAAACTTATAGGAGCCAGCCTTCAAGTTAGATGTATCGCTTGTTGGGCCACGGGGGGCTGGGCCTCATCAGTCACCTTGGCTCCGCCCCTGAGTCAATGTAAGAAAGTAGCACTTGATCGTCGTCATATTTTTTTTTTTTTTGAACAAATTAATAAACAGGTTTCTCCTAACTCATTTTTTATTTTTAATTGAGGAATCCTAACCAAATTGTTTTTAAAAGTGTTTAATAAGCTTAGTTCTATGACTTTATTGACTTAAAAATGTTTATTAGGACTTGAAGTTAAAGTTGAGCCAAATAACTAACCCCACTTTTTAACAAGTCATACCACACGAAACCGTTGGTTCCTATTGAGATAAACTTAGGTAACTATTTCAATTGCACTCCCTATTTCTATCTATCTCTTCCCCACTGAAGCTGAGCTCTGAATTCTCTATTCAAGCAGCTTCTCAGCTTTCTATCACCAATGAAGCAGTTTCTGAGGTAAGATACTTTTTTTTTCCTTCTTTACATCATTCAATATCAATCTCACAATCAGGGTATCATCAATTTAATTGTCATTATAATCAATTTAGGGTTCTTCTAAGCTGAATTTTTGAATACTACGTGTTTGTTTATAATTACTGTAAGATTATAACTTTCGATTATGTTGCTAGAATGTTGCTATTATCATTCTTTAGTAGAAGAATTTAATATGAATTTTAGAGCCTAATTAGATAATTGAGTCAAATTTCGTTGCTAATTTGTTGCAGGATTATATGTTCATAACCCTTTATTGTAGGACGGAACTATGAAATTGAACCTTTTCTCTCTTGCCCCGGGGCGGCCGCTCCTCCTGCCCCGGCTCTGCTTCGGGTTTGTAAAGTTTCCATTTCATGTTCAGTGCTCTTCCAAGCCAATGCTTCAGCTATCTTCCTCTTCAAATGTCAATAAGAAGTAAGCTAATTTTTTTTTTTAAAAACTAAATTTTGCGGTTGCTTAGCTCGTAGATATGAATCATATGATGTTCAATGTTTTACCTGTTCTCTTTTAATTGCAACGTTGGGGGTGCATATATTTTGAGGAGAGGAGAGATGCGGAGAGGTAAAAAGAGGGAACTGAGGAGAAGGATAGAGAGAATCATTAGCCGCGATGTTTTACCAACGGCTCAAAATGGAATACATTGTGATTAGAGGAAAATGAAGGTGTTACATTGTTGTAAATTTTAATTGTGTGTGACAATGTTATTTTAGAAACTATGACGATAACTTCTTGTTGGTTTATTGTTAGGAAGTAAATTGCCAATAATTTGGTAATAGAGTGTTAGAATTGCCTACTTGACAGTAATTATTGGCACTTTCATTTTGATACTGTTTGTGAAGATTAGGAAAAAATGTCAAGAAGCCAGGAAAGAGAGAACATCACCTATGGAAACGTAAAGAATCTGCTGGTTCTGGTCAGAAAGCAATGAATCTAGTTCGAATTGTAAGTTTTTGTCATTATTATCTATCGTATTATTGTTGTAATCTGTATGAGCTACCTGAAGCTTATAAGATTGTGGCCTATATTGCCTAGGCTTTCTTCCAGCACGTTACAATTGACATTTGTACAAGATTTTACCAAAATATTTTTGTATTAATAGTTTTCCATCTTCTCTCCATAACTTTTGTTAGTGAACCTTCCAATACAGTTTAATTGATTACTACTTGTAGAGGAGGCACTGGTATATGCTGCGAGTTTGATAAATATAGCTTTCCCATTGTTGTATTATGTTTTAATGTTGTAAGGGCATCCTTTTGCTCTTGGTTAGTTGGTTACAGACCTTATAGTGCGGTAGTTTGTATTGGTAGGTTTCTGGACTTCCTAATGAGAAAGAGGCAGTTTATTGTGCATTAGACGAATGGATTGCATGGGAGTTGGAATTTCCAATGCTTGCGGTAGCTAAGGCTCTAAGAATTTTAAAAAATCAGAGGCAGTGGCCGCGAGTTATTCAAGTAAGATTCTTTTATGAGCGTATTAAAGTTTTTGAATGTGTTTAGAAAATTTGTTTGATCACTGGTCAATGAGCTCTTTTAAAGTTGTTCAAGTAAGATTCTTTTATGAGCGTATTAATGTCTGTCTACTTCTATTTTATGTAAAACGGCTTTGAATGTGAAGATATTGAAATATTATTCTCCAATGTTGAAATAGTGAATCGGAAGTGAACAGAGTAAAGGGAATATGAAAAATTGAAATAGCATATTTGTATTGGATGGCAATTACAGTACACTTAGAACTATAACTTCACTTCTTAGGCTCTTAGCTTGTCCATTATATATCCTGTTTGTAGTTTGTACAATAACTCTGTTAAGAATCAAAGGATGCCTTTGATGATATCTGATATTGCAGTATTCATCATTATTGCTAGTAAAGTACTCTAAAGTCTAGTAATTCTGTTGGCAGGGTCTTGTTGTGAACTTGTATTAGTGGCATCTAACGTAAAATGTTTAATTTACTCAATTAAGGAGCTCGCCCAAGGCCCCAAATTCCTCTAATCTGGTTCCTATCTCCTTCTAGGTATTTGATCAACCCCAAGCTCCTTTTCAGCCTTCACCATGCTTTTGACCAGCATTGACCGCCACTCTATACACTATACTCACTCTAGTCCACCACTGGTAACAACTCCTGGCCCAAATGTTACCTAATTCACCAGCATGAGATTGAATATGATCATATGAATATACAATTTGGTACCTAGTATTGTTAATTAGGCAAAAATATAACACTTGTATTTATTTGGTACCTAGTAGGCTAGTACTGTTAATTAGGCAAAAATATAACACATGTATATATTTTTAGCCTGTTGGCTCATTCACAGGGGCGTTAGGTCAATACACCTACCAAACCCCAACAACCTGACCCCACCACCACTCAGCCTTGGCCTTAAATCTAAACCCCATCGTAATCTAAATCTGCCAAACAAAATGTGCAATTCAAGTGGTTTGATCTTCTATATTTTTCTTACCCTTTCATGTTTCCTTTCCTTACTCAATAGCTAACAAAACCACCACCTTTGTTTGTTCAACACAGATGTTGTGCACCAGCTAGGTTATACTTTGTCGAAATTCTCACTGGAAGCTATATTTGCATTGTTATGAAGTGGAAATTTACAAGCATTTGTGAGAAATTGATAGTATAGGAACAATTCTGAAACTTGTGCAAGGGGCATAAATTGGTTAATCTCTTCTTATGGGCTCCTTTTACAAATTGATAGTATAGGAACAATTCTGAAACTTGTGCAAGGGGCATAAAATTTGTACATAAAAGTTAATTTAAACTTTTAAATAATGAGAATTCATGTTGGATCCAGTTATTTAGATGGAAGTGAATATTTGTCCATTCATATATTTTGTGTTCCAAACATATATTTTGCATAGAAAGATCTAAAATTTACTTAAAAAGTATATAATGTGCTGAGATCTTAAGCCTAAAGTTGCATTTTCATCTTCTTTGTCAGTTGGTGTCATGACTGTCATCTAACTTGGTGCAGAAATGAACTGTTTACGGGTTCTTGATGCTATGTAGGTTGTGAAGTGGATGTTGAGCAAGGGCCAAGGTACAACCATGGCAACATATGATACAGTCTTGTTGGCTTTTGATATGGAGGAGAGAATAGATGAAGCTGGGTCTTTGTGGAATATGATTTTGCATACCCACACACGATCTATTTCAAAGCGGTTGTTTTCTCGGATGATTTCATTATACGATCATCATGATATGACAGAGAAAGTGATAGAGGTAACCAAAAATCTCATTTTTGTAATATGTTACCTATGAAGTAAGATTTATTGGTGTTTATTTGTTGCATCAAAACCATCTATGCCTCCTGATACAATCCAATGTTTAAGTAGCTTTTAAGTATTACTAGGTGTTTTTTATGGGAAATTCCCTGATTCTCATATTGAGAAACGAAATTTGTTTCTCATGGGGGCATTTTCGTGAATAAATCAACAACTTTTTCATTATTGTGGGCTCCACAATTGAATAAAGTTGTTGGTTTATTTACGAAAATGCCATGTGAGAATCAAATTTTGTTTCTCACTATGAGAAACTGGGGCATCCCCTTTTTTTACCCCCTACAAGTGATGTAGCTTACTACTAGCACTGGATTTAAGAGGCCAAGCTCTTAGGTTTGGCAGGGTTTGTTATGTTGGGTTATTAGTATACATAGGTGATGGAAGTTAAGTGTACTTAGAGAATCATCTAGGATACTGTCAGGAGTATCATTTACTGAAGACAAGATAAATTTCCTAGTAAAAGTTATTCTAGAAGCTCTATGAAGACTCCCTGAAGCCCTAACGACTCCAACACTCCATCATGTTACTTTCACGTTTCATTAAAATTACACTTTTTCCTAGTGATTAGCCATGTGCATAATTTACATCACTCACATGTGTAGCAATATACATGGTACATGACACTGAAGAGTGAATGAATGGTATCAAAATTTTCAAAGAAAGATAACTAGCCTTTGATCGAGAAGAAATGTTATAAGGTCCATCCTAAATACTATTAGGATAGTTTGGAGACCAATGGTTGATGGATGAGGGTGTTGAGGAAATGTAAACAATTTAGTAATGTTGTTAAGTAATATGTTCATGAAATTAGGTGAAGCAAACATTGTTATAATAGTGTAATTAATGGGTTTTCTTAGTCTTTAATTTGAGGGTATCGTATGTAATTGTGTTATTTGTTACAAGTATATGCCATTTATTGTGATTCATATATGTTATTTTACTTAACCTGTATAAAATAAGTAGTAATGCATTCTCATATCTTTTGAAAAATTTCTACTTCATTTTTCTAGTAAAAGTGTGTTTTGGTGTTTATGAGTATCCATGTATAAGATGTTACTACTTCACGAGAAACCTCATCAGCTTCTCTTCACCCTGCCCTCCCCCTTTTTCCAAATATGAGTGATTGTTATGTCAATATGTTTCACAACAATGTGCAATTTTTGTGCCTATTACTTAGCAGCAGTTGAAACAGCAAAAAAACACAAACAAGTTCATTTTATATACAAACACCAATAAACCTGATAAAAACTATTTACTGTGTAAGTGATGTAAGGATTTTCAATAAAAGTATGGGAAGGAGCTACTTCTTCGCTTTGATTATCAAAGATTCAATAATTTGAAAGGGTATGAATACCAAATATAACTGCTTCAATTCAAGTAGATTATGGAGTAATTTATACAACCAGTCATATCCCAATAATTACATAGTATTTTATGGCAAATGTATACAGTACCTGTAAGCTGTAACACCCAAGATGAGGCTTGTTCGAAAGTATCATGTTGCCTTTTTTTTGTAGTACATTCTCTGAACTTTTTTCACGAGCATGACAACTTCATCTATAGATTCAGTAGCTTTGAGAGCATTATCCTTTGGTTTGGAGAGTTCTCCATTGCTAAGTGCATGATGGCATAAGGAAAACAGTTTATTCAAAATTGAACTCGGTGAAGTCCCGTGTTTATAAATAGCAGTAACTTTGGCCCTATATAAAAGTCCATTTCATTTTATCCAGTTTTGTATTCACTATTAATCAAACCCATTATTTTATTTTTGTTTTCACTTTTAGTGAACTAAACTCCACTACTTATTTTTATATTTTCCTTTGATCAACTAAATTCCACCACTTGTCACATCACTTGACATGAGCCACAATGATTGATAGTAGTACTAGGATAGGTGATCCTGAGAAGTCCTCATGTTGTTCATGTAGAGGGCCCCACTTATGGGGATTAAAGCTTTCAAGCAGAAAAAGTAGAATAAACTAAACCCCACTTCTTTTTGCTTGTTTTTTTTTTTTATTTTTTTTTATTTATTTTTTTTTAAATATTCACTTACCTAAAAATGTGTGTAAAAGCCAAATAAGACATTTATTTGGGAATAGAGGGATCTTTGTAGTATATTTTCTTTCAAAATAATTTTTTTTTTGACATAAAATAAAATTTATTTTAATATGTATTGAATAAGGAAAAAAAATCTAAATAAGAATCCAAAGTAATTACAACACTTATATTCATAAAAAAATCCTCTTAATATACTTTGATAGACCAAAGTAGTTCCTATGGCTTCAGAGTATTACATGTTTCCAAAGATTCCGATTACTGACTTAAATCATACGAATAAACTTGTATATATATGCAACGAACCCAAGGCCATCACCCGTGACACTCACCTACAACAGACTTTAGAGAGGGCAGCAAGGGAGACTACCAACAACAACATACCATGGCAGCAACAAACAATCACCTTTAAGTATTTGTTTGCTATTGTACTAAAGTAGTAAGAGGACAAGAGTAGTACTTGTAGTAATTAAGGCTTTGTTGCCAACTCTAGAATGTAATGGCAGTATAAATAGTAGTAGTCTAGTAAGGAGGCATCTAGAAAATTGTAAGTTATCTCATGGAGAGTTATGGCCTAAAGCCATTGAAACCCTTTCGCAAGCTTTAAGCTTTCTATCAATCAAACACTCAACCTTTCGACTATATTATTGTTGTTACACGCTAGTCCGTTGCAGTTGGTATCAGAGCGAGGATGCCTCCGACGTCGCTGGCAGCGTTCGAGGAGCGTTTGGAGGAAATTTTCGAGAAGTTAGGAGATGGAGAAAATTCACTTCAGCAGACCTTGTTGAAGGACCAACGCTGCTCGAAGGCCGAATTGACCGTTTTTGCAACGACCAGAATCAACAAAATTCCTTGATGGCGAGCAAGCAAGACAAGTTTATGGAGGAGATTCGAGGCACCATGAAAAGCCTGGGCAAACAACCACTGCAACCGACAACAGTGGAAGATGAGGTGGAGCAACCCCAGAACGCAGGTGGGTTCTACGGGGCGAATTTAACGAGCCACCCTTGGGAATGGGAGGCTTAAATGGGCGTCGTTTTGGCAACTGGGAGAGCCAGGCGTTGGAGGAAATTTCCGCCACCACGGCGACCACCAAAAGAACCGAGGAAATTGGAAGTACCTAAAACTAGATATGCCGGTGTTCAACGGATCCGACCTGGATGGGTGGATACTCAGGGGAGAGCAGTATTTTCAGTTCTATCGCTTGACGAAAGTGGAAAAGATTCAGGCGACCGTCGCCATGGACGGTGATGCGTTGCGGTGGAACCAGTTCGGTCATCACCTGGGAGGACCTGAAGTTGCGCGTCCTCATGCAATTTCGGCCGGTGAACAGAGGCATCCTGCACGAGCAATGGTTAGCCGTCTCAGTGGTATTAGAAAACCTTCATTGAAAAGGCTGCTCCGTTGGTTGATATCCCAGGGAGCATAATGAAGGCTCAGTTTGTTAATGGACTTAGAGAAGACGTTAAGGCGGAGATCCGTATGCTTAACCCGTTAACCCTTGAAGATGCGATGGATCTTGCGATCCGGGTTGTAGAGCATAACCGGGTCAACGGAAGAAAATGGGTGGGGCATATGCAAAACCCGGGCCGTATTCATATTTTAATCGGAGCCCTGCTTCAACACTATTAGGGGTTGGGCCGGCCTAAACCTCACCTTCCTACTATCAGCCCACTTCCCACCAACCCAAACACATACTCAACAAACCCACCAACAAACCAAACCCCTCAAGGTTCAACAGCTTCAATCTCTCAGATACGCAACACTCATGGCTTCTCTCAATTCACCTGCCAAGTACGCTGGTTGACGGAGCGAGAGATTGCAGAGAAGAAGGCCAATGGCCTTTGTTTCCGGTGTGATGGCCGCTGGACCGGGCGCACGCATGTGTGTGCGGTAAAAGGATTGAGTGTCCTCGTGGAGGAAGGAGAGGAAGACGAGAGTAATAAGTTCATAGCTATGGAGAACTTAGGAGAAGAGGAGGAAGAGACGCCAACAACCATTTCCATGAACTCAATCGTGTGGATTGCAAACCCGACAACCATGCGGCTACAAGGAGAGATAAGAGGGAAGAGTGTGGTAGTGATGATTGACCCAGGGGCAACCCATAACTTATATCATTAAAAGCTGTGAAGGATTTGGGGTTAGAAGTGACGGGAGATGCGGCTTTTAGAGTATCATTGGGGAATGGGGAGACTATCAAAGGAAGAGGGTAGTGGTTAGGGGTGAAATTGAAACTCATTGACGAGGTGGACATCGAGGAGTTTTTGCCACTCCAATTAGGGAACTCCAATGTCATTCTTGGTGTTCAATGGTTGGAGAAGTTAGGCTCGGTGTTGACAAATTGGAAGCTCGAAGAAATGAGCTTCTCCATGAACGGGAAGGTAGTCATGGTGAATGGGGACCCAAGTCTTGCAAAAATCGGCATTACTCTCAAGGCCATGGTCAAAACTCTCAAGAAGCAAAAGGGGGGTTTGTTGGTTGAAGTAAATAGAATAGGGGGGCCCAAAGGGCGAAAAGGGAAAGGAAGAAGTGCCATCATTTTCGAAGGAGGTGTTGGAGGATTTTAAGGTCGTGTTTGAGGAACCAAAGGGATTACCTCCGAGTAGAGGACATGAACACTCTATAGTACTCAAGGAGGGGAGTGACCCCGTTAGTGTCCGACCTTATCAATATCCCCAATTTCAAATAGATGAAATTGAGAAATTAATCGAGGAAATGCTAATGGCCGGAATTATACGTCCCTCTACTAGCCCTTTTTCGAGCTCGGTGTTGCTAGTGAAGACAAAGGATGGGTCGTGGCGGTTTTGTACGGACTATCGAGCACTAAACAAGGAAATCGTCCCCGACGAATACCCGATTTCGGTTATTGATGAACTCTTAGACGAGTTGGATGGGGCTCAAGTGTTCACTTAGCTAAACTTGGCTACCACCAAATACTTATAAGGCCGAAAGACACCCACAAGACGGCGTTTCGTACCCATGAGGGTCATTACGAGCTCTTAGTAATGCCTTTCGGGTTGACAAATGCTCCGACAACATTCCAATCGTTGATGAATGATGTTTTTAGGCCCCTTTTACGCAAGTTCGTCCTCGTACTCTTCGATGACATACTTGTGTACAGTCCAAGTTTAGAGGCGCATGTTGTTTATGCGAGAGAGGTGCTAAAAATCCTCAAAGAGCACTCATTGTATGCAAACATTAAAAAATGTGAATTTGGAAAAAGTGTGGTTAGGGCCACATTATCTCAAAGGAGGGTGTTGCTGTAGATCAAGACAAGGTCTAATCCATGCTCAAGTGGCCCACTCCCAAATCATTAAGGGAATTAAGAGGCTTTTTAGGCCTCACCGGGTATTATAGGAAGTTCATCTTCCATTATGCCCAAATTACCTTGCCCCTAACTGACCGGCTCAAGGACTCCTTTGGGTGGTCCAAAGTGGCGGAGCAAGCTTTCATGAAGCTAAAATTAGCTATGACGTTGGCGCTGGTATTAATCATGCCAATTTTCACCAAGGCTTTTGTAGTAGAATCAGATGCGTCCGGACTTGGGTTGGGTTCGGTCTTAATGCAAGAAGGCCCGTGGCATATTATAGCAAGGTGTTAGGGCTGAGTAGCCAGAGCAAGTCTATTTAGGAGAAAGAATTAATGGCCATGTGCTTAGCCGTGCAAAAGTGGAAGCACTACCTCTTAGGGAGGAAGTTCATTGTAAGGAGTGACCAACAAAGTTTGAAATTTATCATTCAACAAAGGGAAGCGAGGATGGAATATCAACATTGGGTCAGAAAGCTCATTGGTTTTGATTTTGAAATTCAATATAAGCCGGGAGTGCCGAACCGGGTGGCCGACGCCCTATCGTGGCGGGGCAGTAGCGAAGGTGAGTCTGAATTGGGTGCTTTAATCGCTGTACTAGGGGTTAATTGGGAAGTGCTGGACAGAGAAATTGGCGGTGATACAGGGGCTGAAATCGGCAGTTGAGTGTGGACAAGGAAGTCCGGGGTACACGATGGAGGTACACGATGGAGGTACACGATGGAGGGCTGCCACCTACTGTATAAGGGCAGACTAGTCATACCCTAAAATTCGACCATGAAGCAGACTCTTCTCGGGGCTTATCATAATTCGCCGGAGGGGGGCCACGAAGGGGAAACCAAAACGTACTTGAGGGTGGCTAGGGAATGGTATTGGGTGGGAATGAGGCACAAAATCGCAAATTATGTGAGGGAATGCGTAATTTGCCAACGCAGTAAGCACTCACAACAACATCTGGCGGGTCTTTTGCAACCCCTGCCAATACCGGAACAAGTGTGGGATGATATCACGATGGATTTCGTGGAGGGTTTACCGAAATCTAGGGGAATTGATACAATATTAGTGGTGGTCGATCGATTATCCAAGTATGCTCATTTTTTGGGATTGAAACACCCTTTCACAGCCTTAAGCATGGCGCAGTTGTTCGTGAAAGAGGTGGTGAGACTCCATGGAGTGCCGAATAGTATTTTGTCTCAAACCGAGATTGAGTATTTGTGAGTGCATTTTGGAAGGAGTTATTTCGTTTGCAAGGTACAAACCTTAAGCATAGCACATCGTATCACCCCCAAACTGACGGGCAGTCTGAGGTGGTGAATAAACGGCTGGAGACTTTAGGTGCTTCGCCGGAGAGCAACCAAAGTCGTAGGCTAGGTGGCTACCATGGGCCGAATATTCGTACAATACCGCGGTGCACTCCTCATAAGGATAGTCGTAAACCACCACGCTTCATAAGGATGGGATGTGGTCAAACCGCGGTGGGCACGGTGGAGGAGATTTTACAAGAGCGTGATTTGATGCTGGATGAATTGAAAATTAATTTGCTTAAAGCTCAACAAGTCATGAAGTCCAATGCCGATGGGAAACGAAGGGAAGTGGAATTTCAGATTGGGGATCGAGTTTTTCTCAAGTTACAGCCATATCGCCAACGTTCTTTAGCCAAGAGGCCATTCGAGAAATTGGCTGCGCAATTTTATGGGCCGTTTGAGGTGGTTCAGCGAATTGGGAAAGTGGCATACAAGTTGTTGCTGCCAGCAGACTGTAGAATCCACCCAGTTTTCCACGTGTCGCAACTGAAACAAGCACTAGGTGATAGCCCTAGTTCACCCACTATTCCCACTCCACTCACACCTGAGCTGGAGTTGGTGGTCGAGCCGGAACAAGTGCTGGACAGCAGGCCTAAGCTAGGGAAGTCAGAAGGATTCGATGTGCTAATACGGTGGCAGGGGCTGCCTGAGTTCGAGTCTACATGGGAGGATGCGGAGTTCATTAAGGCTAGATTTCCCGGCTTCCACCTTGAGGACAAGGTGGCTCTTTTGGGGGGGAGTGTTGCAACGAACCCAAGGCCACCACCCGTGACACTCACCTACAGCAGACGTCAGAGAGGGCAGCAAGGGCAGACCACCAACAACAACAACATACCATGGCAGCAGCAGGAGGAAACAGAGGACCGTTAAGCAGGGGACAAGCACCTTTAAGTATTTGTTTGCTATTGTACTAAAGTAGTAAGAGGACGAGTAGTACTTGTAGTAATTAAGGCTTTGTTGCCAACTCTAGAATGTAATGGCAGTATAAATAGTAGTAGTCTAGTAAGAAGGAGGCATCCAGAAAATTGTAAGTTATCTCATGGAGAGTTATGGCCTATAGCCATTGAAACCCTTTCGCAAGCTTTAAGCTTTCTATCAATCAAACACTCAACCTTTCGATTATATTATTGTTGTTACACGCTAGTCCGTTGCAATATAGTCTTCATGCCCAAGTTTTACAAAGTTTTAAGCCAGCAGCTTCATGTTGTGTTCCTACTAAGGAACTTGGTGTTTGCATCAAGTTTCTATTGCTTTGAAGTCTGTGGTTCCTACTCTAAAACTCCCATTTCATCTTTGCTCAGGAGCTTAAATAGTCATTAGTAAGGTTTGTTTGTTGTCATCAGATCCGTAAGGGCCAACATCTACAGGAGCGTACACTCCAAATTGGCGTTTTGCTCTAGAAAACTTTACTTTGCCACTGCATCTGCTAAACAAATATTACATTGTTGCTTCAATGTGCAGAGAAATGTTTCTGCATTACCTCTACAACATGCATGCCAATGTGTATCTTTGTTCTGTGTTCATATTTGTATGTGCTGCCTCACTTCTGTGCTAATTTTAGAATTCTTTGATTTCTTGTTGAGATCTGAACGCATGCTTGTGCTGTTTTTTTTTGGTGCTCAACGCTATATTTTCCCGTCTGGTTTAATCCAAGTACAAACTTAGAAATGGAATTTGTTCATTTAAACACATCCATATTTTGCATATGTTAATTGTTAACACTCGTATGGTTACTATTTATCAATTGCATCTGATTTTATGTCTCTTTGCAAAACCCAGGTCTTCGCAGACATGGAAGAATTGGGTGTCAAACCGGATGAGGATACAGTCAGGAGGGTAGCACGAACCTTTGAGAGACTGGGACAAGAAGACAAGAAGAATTTGGTCATAAAAAGATATGGTTGTAAATGGAAATACATCCATTTTAAAGGAGAAAGAGTCAAAGTTAGGAGAGATCTGTTGGTTGATTCAAAGCTGAATTAGCGTTTGTCTACTACTTCTTGTGCAAAAAGATTCTGCTCTGAGCCAATGTGAAGACAATTTACAAAAGTCAATGAGAAGTATTCTTTAGATTGTGGTATGTATGCTCTGCTTGTCAAACTCCTAGTTTCTGCTGTTGTATATATGTTCATTTTTGAAAGGCCGGTTTTGTTCAAGAGTCTTGGATAAATTAGGTGAAGCATCTCCAAAAAAACCTGCATTCAATTGATTATGTTTGAGCTGCTGGAGACTGAGGTATCTGAATGTAGAATTCTGGAGTTGGAAATCAGGAATTTATCGAGGATTCAATTTAACCCAACTTTGTCTATATCTTTACCCATTAGCTTTTTGGATACAATACTGCCATTAGCTTTTTGTATTTGTATTTTTACTTTATATATTAAGGTTAATACATAGGTAGATGTACATGATTTTTGCAACAGTTCATTACAAACCAGAGTTACATAAATTTCTTTATTTAGTTGATCTCAATGTTGACCGTATATCATGCCGAGCATATCCTCAATTCTTGCATTTCATCAGCCTGTTTGTTCTACAACCTCTGCGCTTAAGTGCTGAAATATTATATCAATATCCTGCTTTTGTGCTTCAACTTCACTCTGCAATTTATCGTGTTCCTTTAAAAATTTTATAACAAAATGTTTACCTTGTTTGTGTGAGAAATAGATGACACTATCGGCGCAGCTACAGAACAATCTTTTAAGGGACATTTAAAGAAGGCTTGCTTTGTTACTAATGATGGAGAACCTATAAAACTCACATGTTTAATTAGGCTGTTAAAAAGAAAAACTATAAGTAAACATTCTATTATACCCTAATTCTATTCCATTGTGCCTTGAAACTTTTAAACTGTCTTTTCAGTTTAAAAATCAAGGAAGGTATAAGCCCCTGAAGTCCAAAATTCTTCCTTATACAGAAGACACAGCTATGGGACTCCTCACTGTATGAAATCCATCAAACCAAGTCAGCCACCCGAATTCATATTCCTGTCCGCTCGCTTGGCTATTGCAATATACATCTTTCTCGACTGTGATACTGAAGCTTTTCTTCTGCCCCTTATGCCTGAATATCAACATACTTGGTGAGATATTGACTTTATATCCCGTTGGTGGCTTCACAGAAGCAAAGTAATAACTTCTGCCTTTACCAACATTTGTGACAGTCCTAGTAACTGTCACACTTCCACTGAGCTTTGAGATTGCAAGGGAAGGCTGGTTTAGGTCATTAGTCTTAGGTAGGTTTTGTGGGCATTTAAATGATGGGTCGAAACCTGGCATTCTTAAGCTGCAGAGGTAAGTCAAGTAGTCAGTGTAAGTAGCATCATACACTAGACCGGGGTCTGCTGCCTTTGTGGGTCGGAAGTGACCTGCTCCGTATTGAAAGGCGTCTGCTGGGTTGCCCATAGAATCAGTTATGAGAGATTCATTGTTGTTCTTCAGACCAGCTGTATGAAGAAGAATCAAGTTTAAGCTAAAGAACGTAAAATTTTGAAATGTGTTTCAAATTTTTAAGAGTGCTACTGCTGAGGTGAGAGTGTAAAGTATATTGTTACCTGTGGTCATGAGTGCAGATCGAATGGCAGCAGAGCTCCAAGTAGGATGGACTGCTTTGAGGAGTGCGGCAGCAGCAGATACATGAGGGCAGGACATCGATGTTCCTGAGTAAATATTCCACTGTACTCTCCTGTCATCTGTAGCCAACTTAGTTGGTGAATCTTCTTCACTCCATGCTGCCAATATGTTTAATCCAGGGGCGGTAATATCAGGCTGCAAGTAACAAATTGAACTCAAGATTATTGCATTTTCATGTAATTATACACTTTGTATCTAGCAAAGTATGAAAGCTTGGGAGTTTTTCAAGTCTGAAGAGGACATGGATGTACCTTGAGAATAGTAGGATCGACGACATTAGGTCCCCTACTAGTGAAAGAGGCCATAAAAGGTGCTGGTGATGTGCCAACCACTGTTGTTGCTGGCAGGATCTTGGCTGCCGGATATCTTGTAGATTTGATGTAGTTGAGGATTTGCACGGCTTCATACTCACCCACAGCAGTTGCAGGAAGAACATGGGGATCGGCCACAACCTCTTCTCCTTGGCCTTTAGCATTGCCTAAGATGTAGCCAATGCCACCTGCTCTCATTACCTCCATCCCTTTACCAACCCTTGTTCCATTTCCTCTTAGGCAAAATACTATATTACCACCTGCTTTTTCTGATGACAGACTGTTAGGAAGGCATTGCCTGTCGAAAATTTGCAAATTGAAGTGTTACATCATTGTGAAATTATATCAGCAAACAAGCAGGCAAAAATAACATAAACCAGCTACTTACCCAGCTAATTCTTGGGTGACATTGGGTAGACTAATATCTCCTGCATAAACCAGTGGATGTGTAATATTATCCAGCCGAAAAGTGGTAGTTGTCTGACCCTGCAAAACAACATAAGATTCATCATAATCAAAACAAAAATACGACATGCCTTTGAAAAGAGTTTGATATATGAAGTGACAGATAATATGAAATGAGAAAAGTTAAGAGTGATGATTAACTCGTATAGAAATGAGGGACTACTAAGGCATTCAGGAATCATAAATTACCTGAATGACCATTCCATTACCAAGTACAATGGGAGCACTAAACTCCCTATCCAAACTGCTAGCCCCAACAGTAATAATCCACGGCGCAGTGTTAGACAACGTCCCTGCGTGAGGTCCCGAATTCCCAGCACTACAAGACACCACAATACCCTTCTTAACTGCGTGCAAAGCTCCAATAGCAATGCCATCCTGCGAATACCCAACTGGCTTCGGTGTCCCAATCGAAATGCTCATGACATGTACACCGTCATTGATAGCATCATCCATAGCAGCCAACATGTCTGCATCGAAGCATGTGTTTCCATCAACCTTTTCATGCCCCGGTATTGCCCAGCACACCTTGTATATTGCTAGTTGGACTAGTGGTGCACCCCCGGAGGCTGTGCCGTCCGCTAATTCGCCCATGAAGGCAGCATCAGGGACTGTTCGGCCTCCTACGGTGGAGCTAGTGTGTGTTCCATGTCCATCTTTGTCGCGGGGGGAGAGGTAGTCTAGCTTTCGGTCTAATGGACCGTAGACGCTCTCATAGGCCTTGATGTAGTATCGAGCCCCTATCACTTTCCTGCCATTGATCAAATTCAACAAGGGAAAAGAGCTTATTTACATAAAAATTTTGTATACTTGTAAATCAATTGACAAAATTTCTTAATCAAATGTATACAACTCTTTTAAGGTAAGACATTTTTTGTATCAATCAAATGACAAAAGTTACTTGTCTTTTTTTTTTTTTGAATAGCAAATGACAAAAAGTTACTTAAATCTTGACAGGTTAGTAATTTTTTTTATCTTATAAATTCATCACATAAGCAATTAATATACCCATTTTGGATTAGATCTTGCTCATTTTTCAATCGTTTATATAGTTTTAATCTACGTAGTATATTATTTTAGCTCGTCTCAAACTCGAGCTCGAATAATAAAATCGAGCTACTCATGAGCTAAGCTCAAATAACAAACAGGTTAAATGAGTCAAGCACAAACAAGAAAATTTACAACTAAGCTTGGCTCGAGTTGGAGCTCTTGTGTTTCATATTGTTCAACTCGAACAAATTATACTCTGATCAGCCTGACTCGGCTCATATTGACATCTCTATACATCTTGGTTAAGCTTGGCTCGAGCACGAGCATATGTGTTTTATATCAAGCTTAGCTCGAACAAATTAATATTTTTCTCCTACTCGGCTTGGGTCATTGACATCTATAAGTAGTGTTAAAACTTAAAACTATGACAATTTCTAGTGGAAAGTATCAATTCATACTAATGTGGCAATTTTTATATCCATACCCAACGCCGTGAATGAGAATATCCCGGATCACATCGAAAAAGATATTAAATTTTAGACCCCGTTTGGTTTAATGTAAAACATTTTCAATGGAAAATTAGTTATCATGGAAAACTATTTTCAAGGAAAAACACAATTGCAAATTAGTTTTCCTTTGTTTGATTGCATACAAGAAAAATCCAAGAAAAATAAAAAATAAGAGTGGAAATGTAAGGATGAATGGGAGGGAAGTAAAAAAAGGTAAGAAGGAGAAAGGAAAATGTGGCTTCCCTTGTTTTTGGAAGGAAAATGTTTTCCATTATTAAGGATGGAATTTTCCAGGATGGAAATTTCTACCCTTGAAAAATTGTTTTCCACTCCTTAACAAACCAAACAAAGAAAAATGGGAAAAAAATGAAAAAATTATTTTCCATGAAAACCTTTTACATTAAACCAAACAGGGCCTTAAAGTATTCCGTTTATTTTTTAGTGATCCATTTTGATTGGAGATATATGTTAAACTGTAACTTTACCAATAACATCTTTAATAACTATGAAGTATAAATAATCAAATGTTGATTAAAAAAAAAAAACACACATTGAGACAATATGAATTTTTTACTTATGCATAAATCATCAATTTAAATCATAGTAAAGTATGTATATACTGCAAAGATTCAAAGCGAGGTACTTAACCAAAAAAGAAAAATAAAAAAAAGGATTATTTCATTTTTCAAGTTTTTCTTTTTATAACTTGGATCACTATATTTTAATAATCAATTGTTGAAAATCATGAAAGAATATTAAGACTAATGATTGTGTTAAGAAATATGTTTAAATTTATAATTAAATCATGAAAAAATAAATTAAAAAGAAATATGTTGAAATTTATACTTCGAAATTTTTGGTGCTTCTTTATCGGGGATTGTTTGGTAGGATGCTAATACTAGTTCACAAGCTTAGACTTCAAAGTCACACCTGTGAGCATGATTCACCAAACATTTCATGTGATCATTCTTTAGTTCTAGAAAAAGGAACCTTTTTCATGGAAAGAAATAGGAATTGTTGCCATCATTAGATTAGGAATGGTACTTAGATAGATGTACCATACCTAACATTATCAACAAGAAAAGTCAATACAATTAGTGTATCTACAAAAGGCTTTTTTATTTATTTATTTATTTATTTTTTAAGTTGTACTTGTTTAGCTTACACACTTTGATAACACAAAAAAAATTGTTTTTTAGCTAATTATAAAAACAATTACCAGTAATAAGTGTTGAAAGTTGAAACCCATTGTATCCCACTTGTGAGTGTCCACAATTGGAGAAAGAGGAGAGGTGGTTCCACTTTATAAGGTAGAGGAGTTAATCCTACTATTACCAATTAGTTTTAGTGTGGAAGCTCCAAAGCCTAGTTTGTGGACCAAATTTTCATCCTCCTTATTCGGGTTGCCCAAGCCTATTTCATATTGTTTTGAAATTTAACATGGTATCAGAGCCCAGATTTGCTGGGCCGTTCAAAAACTGGGTATTTGCCAAGCCACTGGTTACTCCTACTATTGTCAATTGGTTTTATTGTGGAAGCTCCAAAGCCTAGTTTGTGGACCAATCTCATCCTTATTCG